AATCGTTCCAGGGTATTAAAAGTGCATTGGTCTCGGCACCCATTCTAACTTGTCCTGACTTTTCCCGGCCATTTAAAGTTCAAACCGATGCATCTGCATTTGGAATAGGAGGAGTTCTTTCTCAAGAGTTTGACGACGGTGAACACGTCATTTGTTATATCAGCCGTTCGCTTACGCGCCAAGAGCGAAACTTTAGTACTACCGAAAGGGAGTGTCTTGCCGTCCTATATACTATCGAAAAACTCCGTCCTTATTTAGAGGGATATAAGTTCACTGTTATAACTGACCATCATTCGTTAGTGTGGTTGCATAATTTACGAGAACCAACTGGTCGTTTGGCTCGTTGGGCAGTACGCCTACAACAATTTAACTTTGACATTATTCACAGGAAAGCAAGAGAGCTCGTTGTTCCCGATGCCTTATCTCGCTCAGTGCCCGAGGTACAGGCTGTCGACTCGAGTAAACCTTTGCCGATAGATTCTTGGTTCAATAACATGTTAGTTAGAGTACGCGAAAATCCACTCAAGTACCCACAGTGGCGTTTAGTTGGAAACAAACTATTCAAATATGTTTCATGTCAGTATCCGTTGCTCCGTGACCAAAATGATTTTTGGAAACTAGTTGTTCCTAAGTACGATCGTAAGAATTTGATCCGCTCTCATCATGATAGTACCGTGGCTTGTCACGCAGGAGTTTTTAAGACCTTTGAACGCCTCAAAAATTCGTATTATTGGCCTAAAATGCGCGCGGACGTAGCTGCCTACATTAAAAGGTGTCCTGTTTGTTTAGCGCAGAAACCGATTCTAAGACCTCCATCTGGAAATATGGGAAAACATCCCGAAGTCACCGTACCATGGCAGATGATAAGTGTAGATCTTTTCGGCCCACTTCCTCGTTCTACCCGTGGATATAAATTCGTTTATGTTGTAACAGATGTATTGAGTAAATTTTCTTTATTTTTCCCCCTTAGAGATGCGACTGCCGCTGCAGTAACGCGAATTACAGAGGAACACGTATTCCTGATGTTTTCATGTCCACAATACCTCATATGCGATAATGGCGTACAGTTTCGCTCAAATTTATTCCGTAACCTATGTCAAAATTATAATGTAACTATTCGGTATACTCCTTTGTATCACGCTCAAGCAAACCCCGTGGAGAGGGTTAATCAGGTCCTTAAGACCATGATCTCTTGCTATATTAATGACAATCACAAGAAATGGGATACATTACTTCCTAAAGTTGGCTGTGCAATACGTACTGCGGTTCATGAGGCGACGGGCTTGACACCGTTCTTTGTAAATTTTGGTCGCGAACATTTTGCTTCAGGTGGCGATTATAAACGCCCGAATATCGAAACAGAGACACGAGTTCCTCCTTCTAGGCGAGATGTTTCTCAAGAATTCAAAAAGATATTTGCAGACGTTAAAAGGCGACTTGATGCAGCACATGCTCGTTCTAGTAATCGATATAATTTAAGACGTCGTCCGATAGCGTTTCATGTCGGCGATAGAGTTTACCACAGGAATTATGTCTTGTCCGATGCCTCTAAAAACTTCACTGCGAAATTCGCCTCCAAGTATGTGGGACCGTTTGTTATTAGGAAGAAATTTTCCCCAGTCGCTTACGAGCTGGTCGACTCGAATAATAAGTCCAAAGGAACGTGGCATATTAAAGATTTAAAGTTTCATCCTCCTGATGATGATGATGATGGTTCGGCTAGTGACGGTTCCGAATAGGAGTTGACTTTACGTACCTCAGGTTGACAGGTATATATTGTTGAATTTTTCTTAGTTTTCTTGTTTTCTTACTTTCTCCTTTCGCTGTGCAGTTGACGGCTTGAGACTATCACTGTAGGGGAGAATTCTCCTGGCGGTAAGAGTCCGACCGAATAGGCCACTGCCAGAGTTGCTGAGCGAATGATCGACGCTGGTCGGTAGTAGGCATTGGAGTGCGCTTACCCGGAGTGTTGGAGGGACACGTGACCTAGTGAGGTAGTTCTCTATCAGTACTAGGCTTGGAGTGCATGTCTCCTTCCATAGCTTTGTTCGGTGGCGACCTACTGGATCACCCGACGTCATTTCGAGTCTAGCAACTCTGGTAGTCATTATCTTTTTGTATTTTTTTTGTTTGGGGGGATAATTTTTTTTTATGGATATAATTGTCAATCTCACTCAGAAGAGATTTACAGGTAAATCTCTTGGGAGTTGAGGGGGAGTTGTTACAATTCAAATTTAACTTAGTTGAAAACGGCTGTATCACTTACTTGAAACACATCAACAGTCATTTATTCGGATCAGGTCAATAATAACAATTTGTTACTACATTTTGAAAGTTCATTCTGTGGGTTCCCAGCATTGCTCTCGGTCTTTTGCTGCGAGTGTTGTCTTCAATTGGTACTGGGTATTTTGTCTCACACTGTCATTCCTCTCGGCTCTGCATTCCACACTTTGTTTACCTTCGATCCTGCTATTAGTAGCTAAAACGAAAATAGCACTCTCAGTCTGATATGGGCATGACAAACCATGATTGTGGTAGAAAGGTACTCACCTCAGGGTTTTGTTCGCTCTCATTTTTCAATGGATTTATATCTGGAAACCAGGTAGTTATTTGGGTATGATTATGCTTCTTGTCTTCTCTCCTGGCTGAAGATAATCCGAAATGATGATATTTTATTATCATTTTAGTACTATGGAGCTGCATGTCGTGTCATTTACGTAATGTTCGTTACACCTAAATTGCTTTGAGTCTGGAATACTTACTACTTGTAAGTTGTAATTCAGCCCTGTTCCTAATAGGTCCCTTGGAAATAAGATATTGAGTGATATTATCTAGTGGAGGGTTAATTTCACTGCTTATATAATCTTTGTGTATTGTCAAATCTGTATCAGCTGAGTGTCGACTGTCGACATCGTCACCTGTCACCTGACACCTGACACCTTTGGTCTAATGGCACGAAACACGGAACACACAGTGGTGTGAATCGACCGTCGACTTATTACCATTTAGTCTCCTCAACTTCGGGTCAATTCGGTGTTACACGGCGGAGTACTTATCGTTGGCTTACAGTATTTTATCAAGGTCGGTGGTTTTGGTCATGACGTCATAGTGAGTTACTGGCGTGTCCAACATCGAGTTGGTTGTCAGTTATACGGTTGGCCAGCAGTAAGTTGTGAATCGATTCCTAAAGCCTGATAGTAAAGTTCTGAGACTATTCGTCAAGTGAGTCGACCCTTGGTTGATACCGCGGTGGTACTTCGGTATTCGTCGCTATTATCTTAGGTATCTTCTTTCTCCTTCGACTCCTTGTTTCCTGGACTCGAAGAGACCTCTTCTTTCGCTTTCGACTCTTTGTTTTCTGGACTAGTATTCTGTGTTCTATGTCAATGTGTATGAACGCTACTGCGCAGGCCTGGGTGGTTTTAAGTTCGTAGCCGTTCGTAACGAATATCGGTTTGTAACGATATTTTCCCGGGTTTTCTCAGTGTCATAACGGCGTCTCAAGATGCCTTACATCGTAACAAAGTGATGTAGTTTTGCTTGGAAATGGGGAGTTATACCCAATATGTTATTTGAATTTCGTATTTTTTGTGTACACCGTCACGATGGGAAATGACGTGCTTATGGGGTACAAAAAAAATGTGTGAGGAGGACCTACAAGTCTCCAGCCTGAAAAGGGCACCATTTTGTAAAGGTGTGTCTGGTTGCATTGGTGCCGAGGAAGAGCTCCATAATTTGTACCGTGTTTGTGAACGGAATCCACAGCTAGTGGGATTATTTGGAGGTCTTCAACTCGCAACATTTCGTTTCCTCTGTTTTGGAAAGAAATACCCTATAAGGGGATTAATAGCATCATTCAACCGGCCTACCCAATAGCCCGCCCACCATCCAAGGTATGTTGTACTACCATGTGCCATGCAGGTTCACTAGGCTTGGAATATAATCCTGTAAGTGATATTTCTTTTGTTTTAGGGCTTCTTCTTTTCCCTTCTTTTTTTATCTACTTCACTTTGGTCCTTTTGCTTCTTCTCTTGTCGATGTTCCTGCAAGATGTCTTCAGTTGTCCCTGTTATCAGACTGCTGTCTGGTGCTGCATTATGCCAAGCATTACACTGACCCAGTAGTTCCTGTCTAAACCACCTGACACCAGCAGCACTGCATTGTCTGGAAGCAGCCCCAGCCTGGGAAGTCACCCATTATAGTATCACCAGCTATATGTATGTACTTATGGTGTAGCTGCCAGAAAATACCTGCAATCTGGTAAGACTGCTCCATTTTTATCTCCATTCAAGAAATACCTACCACCAAGGATTTTCAAGTTGAACATTTCGCCTGCGGATCTATGTACTGTATGACCATGTATAATGTTGACCTCAATAATTAATAAGGGGTATCATATTGCTGAATTTCCACTCACCACTGTAAACCATAGTGATCACATTGGTAAATTATTATTGTTCTGGAAGAAACCAGACTTCAACATAATTGTGTCTAAATTCATGAATAAGGGGGGTCATTATATTTCATAAGGTATATATGTTGAGGTACCTACATAATATTTTGTTGCTATTTACTTGATGGAAATGTTTTTCTAGTGATGTCTACATAGTTAGCAGCTTATGTCATAACTACCATATTCAACCATATTCAGTAAAGGATACAGTCAAATTTATGGCTATAATTCCACCCTACCAACCTTACTCACCCCAGTGTCCCACTGAGCTAGTCAGTGTTTGATCTCTACTGTTTATAATCAGGCACTTTAAACACTTATTTTTGTAACGAAAAATCTATCTCAATTTGCACATCCTTTAATTGAGGGTGAACAGCCTAAACCAATTTGTTAACAACTCTGGTAACAAAGCAGCTATAAACAATGGAACCCGTTACACATCCTTGTTTTCACTATTCTTCTTTTTCCTATATGATAGCACTTGACGTATTAAGAAAAAAAGAATAGTCCACTCGCCTATTGGCAAACTGATATCTTTGGTCCCCAGACAGGTCCTGGTGGGGGGCAACTTGGGCAAGGCCTTCAACAGCATCCGGCAGGAGGGCATAGTGTACCTGTACAGGGGCGGCATGCCGCCCCTAGTGCAGAAGGCCACCTGCCTGTCGACCATGTTCGGGGTGTACAATTCGGTGACGATGCCGCTGAAGAAGTACCACTTGAACGAGTACGTCGAAAAGGTAGGCTTTTTAGGTACAGTGTCATCCACGAAATCCGTAACATACCAGGTGACACAGACTCATGGTATATTTCTGTTATTTTTTTATACAAGTATACTTCAACTTTATTCATACATTTACATACATATACATTACATTTATGTGTGTGTAATAACAATTTCATCAGTACAGGGTGGCCAACTAAGACTCCAGAGTTCGGTTTCTCTGTTGTCTTGAGAGACAAAAAAAAGTCATGTATCAAAATTGAAGTAACAATCGAGCTCCACATTTCAAAATTTATTTGAAATACACAGGGTGTTCCGTAAGGTCACAGCACATCAAAGCTATGTTTTTTTCATTGGAACACCCTATATTTTATTTCATTTTTGAATTCTCCCTGAAGATCTGATTTCAACGACCCATCATACTCAGGGTCTAGCAGTGAAAGTTACTGACATATAGGGTGTGCAAAATCGAGATTTTCCAAGTTCAGAATTCTTTTCTGTCGAAACTGTTCATTATTCGTCAAAACGGTTTACATGTCCCTATCTCAACTTTCCACTCACTATCAATTGGTGTTCAATTGAAATTGATACAAGGTGGTCAAAAAATCTTAATTTATAATTTGTTTCAATTAAATGCCAATTGATAGTGAGTGAAAAGTTGAGATAGGGACATGTAAACCGTTTTGACGAATAATGAACAGTTTCTACAGAAAAAAATCCTGAACTTGGAAAATCTCTACACCCTCTATGTCAGTAACTTTCACTGCTAGACCCTAAGTATGATACGTCGTTGAAATCAGATATTCAGGGAGAATTCAGAAATGAAATAAAATATAGGGTGTTCCAATGAAAAAACATAGCTTTGATGTGCTGTGACCTTACGGAACACCCTGTGTATTCCAAAGAAATTTTGAAATGTGAAGCTTGGTTATCACTTCAATTTGAATGCAAAACTTTTTTTGTATCTCTCAAGACAACAGAGGAATCGAACTCTGGATTCTTAGTTGGCCACCCTGTACATATTTTACAATAATGCACCTAGGTGAGTGAACACCTGTGTGTGCAAAAATACGAATTAGGATGTGATAATTATTATTAACATTATGTTCAACTAATCAATAAATTCATTTAATTACCTACACTTTTCACAGCATCTTGTGTATTCGATCACTATTATAATATAAATGAAGTATTTTCATATATTAACAAATGTTTATATTTTGTTATCATTTTAATTTCATTTAGGCCAAGCAATGGGGGACTCAAAAGTGCTTACCTGGAAAAAAATACAGGAGTTTTGAAACTTGGCAGTCATGTACATATATATGACCTCAGTTACGCGTATGATTTGCGACCTCGTCAAGTCGCCGCTAGCCCCGCCATATTGAAAAAATTGCACCTAAAATCAGTTTTTTCATGATATCTCTTTTTCAGTACTTCATAAACAAAAAATAGGTATCACAACAATTGTAGGAAAGGAAATTCTCTACAAATTTTGTGAAAGAAGTTTTTTTCTGGGATCAATATTTCCAGAGTTGCATCGATATAAATCAGGGCAATCTTAGTAAAATTGTACAATGCTTCCCTTAACAGTGTCAATTATCGCTAGAATTTGTTTAGTTATTCAGTAATTATTACTTATTATCGTTTCCACACCACCTGAGTACCGGCGCGTTTTTTTTTATTGTGGTGTCCCCAGTAGGCCTAATCCACATTTCAATGTTTCTAAAACAATTATTATTGCTGGCTTCGTCTCAATACTCTAGATGGACCAGGTTCGCTTGGATTCACACTGATTTTGTATGTGTTTTCTGCATCTGATTCATCTTCCCCGGAATCTTCGTCTATAACATCAAACGTCGGCAGTAGAATATCATCTGGGTCTTCGTCATCAGAGTCGTTCAACATGTTTGCGATATTTTCGCAAGAATTTCCTGTTGCAAATTATCGAACAATTCAAACCCGCCTTTCTGCAGCTGCATACTGAGACACATCCTTTTTTACATTTGCATGAAATGAATTTTAGAACTACTTCTGGAGCAGGATCTTTGGTTGTTCTAACAGCAGTGAGTCCGACCTTACTCCTTTTCCATCCCCATTTTTCCGGATTTTTTCAACACCATTCCAAGCTTGAACTTGATGATAGGGGCGGAATGAATGTTGTTTTGCCGCTGCTGCTATGGGGAGAAGTGAAGCAAGGTTAAACTTACTCTTTGTCGCCGATCTCGAAAACTGATGATATCGGAGAAAATCCAGAAATGAATCCTTTTGAGATACTCCATAGAGTTTGATCAAGAAATTTTCTCCTGCTACTGCAATTGCCTTGGCGTCTGCACTTACATCCTTGAATACTTCGATAATTTAATTCAATTACGGGAATTTCATAATCATTTTGAGGAATTTGTTCTTGCCTTGGTTGAAAATGGCAGATGTTGTGTCACATCCACTAAAAGCGTGTAAAAACAATATATTGTGCGCAATGCTTGGTTTGCGTATACTTCGTACGGAGTATACTTCTTTTCTGAAGTTTTCCCCTTGCCCGGTTTCAAGAAATCATTTGGATGATGATTTCCTAGTGCAACTAAAAGTATCAGTAGGTCGATATCTTCTCCAACGATAAACACAGAGTTTAAAGATGATGCTGTGGATATTGCTGTCCTAACAATTGAGGTGTCAGCGTCTTCTATGGCCTGATGGCGAGCCTGATGGACAGTGCCGGATTCAGGGGGGGACCATGGGACTATCAGCCCCCGGCGGTGAATTTCAAGAGGCGGTAGAGAAATAGAGAAAAGAGAAAAAGCAAGCAGTAATACAGTCGTCGCCGACGAGGCGACAAATATATTATATTGCTTCTTGCTTTTTATATGCCGCCTCTTTAGTCGCCTTTTGAAACAAACACGCAATTAGCTACCGCTGGCAGTCGGCACCTCATTTTGTGAAAATCATAACATGCACTAATCTAGCGTCAGCTGTGTCTTGGACGCTACAATACAAAAGCTCAATAACAAAAAAAAATCAGAGTTCAGTATTCAATAGGTTGTCGTTGGTATTGTTGGTAATGGTACTAATAATAAATAAATTTTGAAACTGAAATTTGAAAAAATGAGTGAAAAAGAAGGTGGTGCATTCTGGAAACGGCAGAAGATCAATAAACGAAAGCAGTTAGACGAAGTTGCCAAGAAAAGCCCTAAAATACATTAATTTTTTTTCTAAATTCGAATGAGACAGAATCAGAACCGTCTCCGGGAACTTCACGATCTCAAGACGGGGATGGTAAGTTATATATATTTTTACATTCAATATGCGAAAAAGAAGAGTTAGAATCTCAAAAATAGATGAGCGAAATATGAACACGACTAAGCGTTGTTTCAGGGATAATCACAACAAATTCTTCATTCATGAATATTGGCAATTACTGAGAAGTTTTTTGCTATCCCTGATGATTAGTAATGCCAGTGGTCAAAGGTCATTCTCAACTTTGGAAAGAGTGAAAAACTACCTTAGGAACTCCATGGTAGAGGATACATTGAATATCTCATCAATTTTGAGTATTAACAGTGACATGTTATTAAATCTGAATTTTGATGATGAATATCTTGCGCATTGCAGCAATTAACACGCTCATCTCCAACAAGTCCAGTACTTATGGACATCATGTTATCGATTTTTGGAAACGGATAGTGCTGATTGAACCAGTTAATAAGTTTTTCTGTATCCTAACTGTCACGAAGTATTCCTGAAAGCCTCATGTCGACGTGTTGTTCCGTTGTTCCACTAAATATTCCACAGAAATCTTCAATTACATCACCTATACCTATACTTTTCATCGTCCTCATCAGAGTCTGCTCGATGGTCATGTCGATCCAAATTCCAGACCAAAATTTATCGGACCGTCTAATGGTGAAATATCCCTTTGTCGTAAAAGGAGGAGATGGAATGCGACCATTTGACGTGGTCGCAAACTTGAGGTGTTATTAGGGTCATGAAGATCAACCGATCTGCAAATTTTTGAAACTCCTGTATTTTTTTCCAGGTAAATCTACCCATTGCTTGGCCTAATTTGGTAGGATGTTATAAATTTTTGGTGCAAGTGTTGTAACAAATCTTTGGTTTCCATCGTATCTTCTGAATGGTACTATCATGTGTTTGTTAGTATACTTGTTTGGTAACAGTGGTTCACAAAATTTGTGTTCTTAGATTTAAAACAGAAGATGCAGTTGCTAAGGTAGTATAGGCATCTGACATTCAGAATCGATTGATTCTAGAGACAACTTGTGGAATACAGTCTATTTTCACATCAAAACAATAGAAATATGGAAATATGTGAATCCACATACAGGGTGCATGGAAATATGTCTCAAACAAATGAATAGGTACATGAATAAATTAAGGACCTGTGAATATACACTGGCCCGTTCCAAAGGCATGAAAATGCAGACAACGACTATCAAATGGAATGAAATGAGTTGTAAAATTGCAAAATTTTCATAATTCGATATGAAAAACTGAAAATATTCAGCTATTGAAATTCACTAATCCTTCATTGCAGCTTCAGAAATTCAGTAGTTAAATAGCATGCGGAAACATAAAAAGTACACAAATTCATTCAACATTTTGTGCTCTCTTCAGATATGTGAGCAGATTTTGCAAATTCAAACATACAGGGTGTTTTTCCGAGGACCCAATAATATGTTGAATTTTTGTTAATCCGGGCCTGAATTTTTTTCTGACGGATATACAAGTCGCTGGGGTAGCAGTGGGAAAACACGTCTACCAGATATCAAAAAAATATACCAGGTGGTTCGTATGCTTTGCGCCTTCAAAGAAATGACCAGAATTGATAAAACACCCTATATCTCGATAATAAAACATGTAAGACCCAATACATATGGTATATTCAGAACCACCGTGGTCACCTCTATTCACCGTTGAAGTATTTCCGTTTCTCAACGGAACACCCTGTATATAGCTCCTAGGAACTGAAAGTGTTGCCTAGCAACATACCTATGTTTGTGTCAGTAATAGGAACGTGGTATTAAAATGGACGACTTATGCGTCGGTTGCAGAAAAATAGTAGATTGTTTTATTAGGATCAAAAGTGACACTTTGTTTGACAAGCGAATTTTGCATTTGCGAGGCGGAGCGTTTAGCGAAGCCGAGCGAAAGCAAAATTTGCGAGTCAAACAAAGTCACTTTTGATCCGAATGAAACATGCTATTTTTTCTGCAACCGAAACAATTAACTCAAATAAACATGTGAAGTAACCACCAATGCCGTGCCATATATGTATGCAATGCAACAAATATTGACAAATAATCCATGTGGTGAGAATATTCTACCTGCATTAACAGCAGGTTAGGTTTTCTAGGATGTTCGAATTGTAGTTTCAATATAAATACAACCACAGAGTGACATATTTGTGAATGGACCAGGTGCTCTGATGGCAAATACCGCGCCAGTGCCAGCTATAGGAACAAGACGTGGAAAATGTTAGGTTAGTGAGCATATCAACAATGATGATAGTGATTATTTTTATTCCTCTTCATACTATACTGTGTTTGACTTGATAATCAAATGAAGCTAAACAATATCGTTGTTTGAGAAAAAAACTATTGCTTTTGCCGTGATTATTCAAAAACAAGTTATCCATCCCGAGAATAAGGAATGAAATAAAGATCAAGCAAGTATTTGAATCTTGAAGGCTTCCCTGATCAAAACAAAAATACTTAACTGAGATGTGTATAATTCTAATACTAAACTATAATAAGGTGTATTTATATCTCCAGCATGGGTATGAAATGCCAAATCTGCTGAAATCGGAAACAAATCAGGTATGCGTCTCAACCCAAATAACCAACCGTCACAATGTTGTTCATTCTTGATGACGTCCAGTACATCCTTTTTAGTTCCTAGGAGCTAAAGTTCAACTTTAGCTCCTAGGAACTAAAATTCAACTTTAGCGCCTAGGAACTAAATATGTTGCCTAGCAACACACCAATTTTTGTGTCAGAAATAGAAACGTCAATTTAAGAGCTAATTTTGGTATCAAAATGGACGACTTATGTGTCGGTTGCAGAAAAAATACATGTATCGCTACTAAACATTTTCGGATCCCGATTTTTGTCCAGGTCTGCGGCAGCTGCGTCTCGGCCACGGTCGAGGCAGCCTTCGTCCCCTTCGAGCGCATCCAGGTGCTCCTCGTCCACTCCAAGTACAACGACCGCTTCAAGAACATGGTACACACCTTCCGCGAAGTCCACAAGCACTACGGCGTGCGTGAATTCTACCGAGGCTTCACGGTCGTCTGGATCCGGAACATAGCCTCCAACTGCTGCTTCTTCATCACCAAGGGCGAGATCCAGAAGTCAAAGTTGATGAAGAATGAGAATTACTCGTCTGGGCTGAAGAATTTCGTGTCCGGAGGTGTGTTGGGGCTGATGATGTCGACGTTCTTCTATCCCTGCAAGGTCATGAAGATCGTGCTGCACCAGAATCTGGGAGGGAGGTTTTTGAGCCTGCGCGAGACTGCTAGTATCGTGTACAGGAGGAACGGTAGGGGGATGAGGAATTTTTACACGGGGGTGGTTACGAACGGGGTGAGGTCGTTGCTCAGCTGGGGTATCACCAATATGACGTTCGAGTTTTTGAGGCATTCCATGTAACTTGAAATTAAGTGTTGATGCGTTTGAAAATGAAATGGGTTCTATGATAATACAGTTTTCCATTACAACGTATTCAGTGTTTATATTAATTCTTTAGAGAACTTAGCATGAACTTAAGGGTATCCCAACAACAATACGTTCACAATGGGTTTATCCAGAAGTATTCTACTAATTTCGCTAAGCTTCACTGACTTCTGGTTATGGACAGAACTTTCAACTGATCACTAAGAGCAAGGAGAAGAATTTCGATTCCTCGTGACGATTTTCTTAACCATTTGAGGTCATGAAAATGGTGTTGCACTAGTGTTATGACATTTGTTTTGTTTTTTATCACATGGTGCACACTTTCTGCGAAGTCCATTAGCACTACGCCGTCCGCGAGTTCTACCGGGGCTTCACGTGTTACAGAAAACCTTCTGTATATGTATATTTTTTGATGTTATTATGTACAAGTCTGAGAAAAATATAAATTGTGTTAGCAATAACCGGCTCGAAGGACCAATGATCCTTCTCGATTGTGGGCTGTATAAGAAAGAGAGTTCTAGCGAAGCTTGATGGTCGCCTAGATCCGGAACATAGCCTCCAACTGCTGTTTCTTCATCACCAAGGGCGAGAGCCAGAAGTCAAAGTTGACGAAGACTGAGAATCACTCGTCTGGCTGAAGAATTTCGTGTCCGGAGGTGTGTTGGGGCTGATGATGTCGACGTTCTTCTATCCCTGCAAGGTCATGAAGATCGTGCTGCACCAGAATCTGGGAGGGAGGTTTTTGAGTCTGCGCGAGACTGCTAGTATCGTGTACAGGAGGAACGGTAGGGGGCTGAGGAATTTTTACACGGGGGTGGTTACGAACGGGGTGAGGTCGTTGCTCAGCTGGGGTATCACCAATATGACGTTCGAGTTTTTGAGGCATTCCATGTAACTTGAAATTAAGTGTTGATGCGTTTGAAAGTGGAATGAGTTCTATGATAATACAGTTTTCCATCACAAAGTATTTGGTGTTTACATTAATACTTGGGAGAACTCACCATTATGGGCACATCTCTGAACTGATCACTAAGAGCAATAAGAAGAATTTAGTTTCCTGGCGACGTTTTTTCAACCACGTAAAGTTTTAAGGTTTAAGTTATATGAAAGTAAGATAGACTCTGTGATAAAACTTCCATCACAACATTCATGATTCATATATCGTAACCTAACCTGGCCACATCTACAATCGATATCACTTTTACGTGTCTCGTTGGTTGCATACAGTTGCATTTATGTATATGATATTGTCGAAGAGAGGAATTATGAGTTCGTAGAAGAAAGTATAGTGTGCAACGCGTTTATAAACTTGAAAAAAGTATAGTATGTATTAAACACTCTGCGCTCGTGCTTAAAATACTCGTTACTAAAAGGAAGTTTGTTACATAATATACTATTATTCAAGAACGCATATTTTGAGAGCGTTGTTCTTAAAATTGTGCTTCAGACGGTCTATCTCTCGAGTCTCAATCCGAATCAATGTGTTACAAAGGTGTAGTATGCCATGGAAAATTGACAGTATTTGAATCTGAATGAAAATCAATTGAAAACTTCTGTCATTGAATTTGTTTATTGTGAGATTATTGGAGTTCAAAAAGGTAATTGTTATTTGTTTAATAGTAGTGATTAATGCACTGATTGGGTACTTGAGTAGCGCAGATCTTATACGTATATCTTTGCCATTCTTTGCCAAGGAAGCAAGCTGAAACCAATTTATGTTACCTCCTATAGGAGGTAATGTTTTTTCTTCCCGTGGGAGTAAATTGACAGGTTTGTGTCCTTAAATGAGGGCGCAAACGCCTACTTTCGATGCAGTGAGTAGATAAACATATTGATCCCAACAACCAAATGCAATTATTGAAAAGTATTCTACTAAATCACAATCACTGAAAGTACTTATATTCTACAGAAATATTCCTAAAAAAATACAGGAATAGAAACTTACCTCAACTTAACATTCAACATGTAATCACAAAACAGTATCACCTTGGAGGCTAGTGGTTTGGTACTGCTGATGTCAGGTCAGGTCTTATATTTCATTGGTCAGTATGTTAGTATCTTGTGGATGTAGCCAAGTTGCGATCTTTGAATTTGGGGATTTGGGTATAACGGTAATTATTTATGCATATTCTATAATTCCATATTATATTGGAAATGACTCACTTCATTCAGAATTCTCATTGCCAACCAATATTCATCAAAAGCCTTGAGAGGGAATGTCCACTGTAGAGTTTGCATTTTTCCTTAACCTTTTGCATAGATTTATTGATAGACATAAGTGACGTGCTACAGATATGCTGCTACGAATTGGGAAGGACCTATCTGAAACTGTCTCAGGCATTATGTATCAACATTCCAGCAGTAGGTGAGTTTTAATCTTCAATTTTAGATCTCATTATACTATGAGAAGCATGAATATATCGGTTGAATTATGATACTAATGAGATAGTGGCGAATGTCAGAAATGGCAAACACTACAGCAGGGTCCTTTAATGTGCAAATTTTTAAAGATCAAGGTCTAGGGTTCAATGAATGATATAAAATTAAGAAGAGGATTTAGGTTCTGAGACCTAGCTAATTCTATTATTGACGGTAAAAGTGCACTAATCATGCGATGGGTTGTTTTTCGAATTTTTTTTGGTACTTACGTGTTTTGAAAAAACGAATTTCACAGTGAAAATGTGAACAAACCGCTATTTTTGGAATTTATTACGAAAAAGTTTGAAATTTCATCTTCTTTTGCCACCCATCTTGGATATTCATTGACAACTACTCGTCTTTCTTTTTCCATCAGTGTAGGGTGACCAGATTTCGAAAATTACCAAAGAGTACATTTAGTTGAAGGTAAAATAACGAATGAAAAAATCGCCTCATGCGATTGTTTTTTTCATTATTCATGGTCAAATGCCTATAAATTGAAAATTGAAATACCTCTGACCTTTGAAACAAATGCCTATTTCACCAATATCATGAGTCAAAAATTTGAAAAACAACAAAATAGATAAGTACCTATACTCATTGAAAATATATATTTTTTTGATTTAAGTAACTGATAAAGAGGTACAAAAGCAGGTAAAAACATTCATATATACAATAAATTGAAAAATATCTTCTTCGTCTACACCGATTCTTCATACAAACACAATAGCAAGTCAAATATAGACCAGAAAGCGCAGAAACTTAAATTGAAAGAAACATCAGAGATCGTCGGATGACATCGATTCACGAGTGATGTATCAAATTTCTCTATTTCCTGATCTTTTCTCAGTTTTTTCATACCTATCCCTTGATCATCTCATCATCAAATATTGACTATAAACAGTCCCGACTTCAAAAAAGAGGACATTTAACTTCCAAATAGAAAAAGATAGAGTACGAGAATAGCAGCTTCCAAAAAGAGTACTTGTACTATAAAAAGGGTCCTACGTCTGATCACCCTACATCAGTGGACACTTTATATACTCACGTTGTACTTCAATAACACATTTTATTTCCTAAATTCAACAAATAGTATGGTTTATTTGGATTTTTTTCATATGCAAATGAGGTAAACAATAGTTTGGTTTATCGCAATTTTTTTGACATTTGACATCTCGTATTTATGACTAGATTTGATAATTGAATGGCCGTCAGCTGGTGTCTTGGTGTGATTGTTAACCTCACTAAAATACGAAAAAATTCCAAATAAACCATACTTCTTGTTGATTTTAAGAAATAAAATGTTTGAAACACAACGTGAGTGTATAAATTATTCAGTGATGGAAAAAGAACAAGTAATTGTGAATCAATTTTCTAGATGGGTGGAAAAGGAGGCGAAATTTCGAACTTTTTCGTAGAATATCTCGATAAATGGCGATTTGTTCACATTTTTATAGTGAAATTCGTGTTTTTCAGACGAAAATACGTGAGTAACTTGAACAATTTTCGAAAAAAAATCATCGCATGATAAGTGCACTTTTACCTTATTGAATTTCATAACTCACAGTATTCATGGACGGTGTGTTGAGTAAATCTGATCCAATAAGATAAACCATCACATTTTTTACGTCGTCTGATTATTAGGATTGTGTAAAAGAAAGTCTAGAACTCTGACTTACAGTTTATTTATTCTCTACTATATTCAAGATATTTCTACAACTTTATAAAAAAACATATTCTTATCATTATTCAATTAGGCTGAGATACATACAGGAATAAGTCAGATGAACATAAATATTACCATGCATTTCTTAAGTTACTTTTCAATTGAATAGATAAAGGCCTACTTACAAATTTGGATCTACTATCTTGTTTATTTAATTGAAATTTATCCTATATACAAAAATCGAAAATGTCCGCTTACATAAAATGTATTGAACTCAATCTATGAGTTTCCTCAAATGTAACCTATATAGTATATACAGTCTGTAAGTGGAAATGTTGGAGATAAAGAAAGTGGATTTCAGATTCTTCAATTGTCTAAGTTCTAAACATATCGAAATATAACTGAAATTGTGTATATTCACAGCATATCAAAAAAAGAATCAAAGTAAAAAAGTCTGTAGAATATATTCCATACAGGCGTGTGTATGAGTGTATGACACATATAAAGCGTTTTCAATGGATTTGTAGACGCTAGTCGCCATATACAGTATGATGCAAATGTATGGAATAAATTCATTATTTCAGAAATGGGCGACATTTTGAAAAATTCCAAAAACACGTTAGGTTTCATTTTTGAAGCCTCATCTCATGATATCCATATGAGAGATGTTACGTCACCGGTGTTGGAGCAATGACGTAATGAACGATTTTTTCAAATGAAAACAGGGGTCATGTGACACCTCGTTAGAAAGGTCTACTGATCGTCTATTCAACAGTCAACATTTTGCATAAGAAAATTGAAATTAAAATGGATTATCATTTGATTAACTGAATCTTGCAGAGGTCTGCTACTGAGAATTGAACAACGAAGGGTCGTCTATTTAAAAAAATACATCAATTAATAAAGTTCTGAAGTCTAGTTTTTGGATCTTTTTCGGAAGTCGTCTTGTTTTGAAATTAATTTATTCCATACATTTGCATCATACTGTATATATCATCTTGATAATTCCATGTGTTCAAGGTATTTGATACAGTTGTTCATTGTTTATAATTCCATGTGTTCAAGGTATTTGATACAGTTGTTCATTGTTTAAAAACATACCGATAAGTACTATTAGGACCGGTTGCATAAAGCACCTTGCATAAAGCTCTCTGTTAACTCAACGAGGAATCGACTTCTAATTTATCAGCTAAGGCATACGTTGCTATGGATACAAACAAATTAAATATTTAGTCGTCTGTTGAATGCTTTATGCAACCGGCCCTCAGTGTTTTTTTTATTGCTCAACAACCGATGAAAATATATCCACATACTACATAAAAATACGAGTTCACTTTCACAGTAGTCACGCGTTGTCCCGTATTTTTCATGTCATGAAATAATTATCATGAATCAGGCCATAATTTTTTGCAACATTGAACAGCAAATTGACTAATAATTTGCTACAAAAACACATCTGAATGGTATGAAAAACAGTATAATAATTATTGTTGAGTGTGAAGAGATCAATACCAGTTTAGTAGTCTATTCTAAAAGAATAACTTGGTCGCAAAACTGAGCTGCACGATTTTTTTGTGCAAGCTTCTCCTGATGGCGCCATATTCGAAGTTTATGGATCTTGAAATGAAAAATAAGTTCAAAATGTAGCCGAATTAAGTTTCATGCAAGAAAATAATTCTCTTCTGAGATCTTCTACATTATCTACATTTCCTATGAACTATGATGAAATGTAAACGTCAAATTCTGAATGAACAATACTCAAAATATTTCTATCAATTCAATAGTCTTAACGACTTTGACTCATCATCGAAACAAGATGTCATCGAATCAAGATGTCATCGAATCAAGATGTCATCGAATCAAGATGTCATCGAATCATCATTTTGCATTGGTTGCCAACCTTGTTAACCACAAAAGTTGAAGTGAAGCTAAATATATTTCGAAAAAATCCTATATCTGAGTCCTTATTGGTCACAATGAATCACGTGATACCTTTTGGACGACTGCACATTCGCTCACCGAAAATCTCAGAATTATTAACGGGACTTCAGCTCCGGAATTGAGGGAAACACATCCTTGAAAGTCTAGTTTTCTTTTCCAAGAAATTTTCTAATGTTCACGCCATCTATCATCGAATATGAGAACTCCACGTTTTGATCTCACATTCAAGTGTTCATATCGAGAATTAGTCGGACGAAACAATTGATGAGTGGGCCCACCATAGCAACTATAAACATCTCAATTTTGCTTATTTAAAGGACGCCTGAGCGTGTTTAATTCCAACATTGAATTTATATTTCAATGCGGAAAGATTTTGGCAGTACTGGTACAATGAGAGCAAAATATAACTATTACCTATGATCTTTCGAATTTACATGTTTTGTTTTGTTGGTTTTTATTTTCATCATTCTTATCTTTGTCTTCTTTACTCACACGTTGAAATTATGGATGGAGGGATTAATCATATTATTTTAGAAGACATAGTAACCTAGTGATTCTGATTCATCAGAAACACCTAACCCTAAGCTTGCTCTAGTACCTCTAGTTCTAGTGATAGCTGTGAAATATTATTCAATATCTAAAGTGGCAATAACAAACCATCTTGTAGATTAGTGGCAGTTTCAGCGTCTACTGCCTCTGTGAGATCTTTCAGTTCGAATTCATACATTTTCCCAATGTATTTGAAAATAATAATTCATAATTTTTATCCACTCATACCTAACATCGAAGTACCTAACCATTCAAACGCTTAACCTAACATTTCATGAATACTGGCACTACATCACCATTTCTTCACCAGTGGCCAACAGTCAACTTTTAAGCGGCGTTTCGTACTCTGATTGGTGAAGAAGAATCTGAATTAAAACGTGAATTGAACTGAAGCAAATGTCATTCCCAACAAAAAAACGTCAACGTGAGTTAAAGCGAATTCCATTCGTAAACCTGGTGGTGCACTGGTTTTGCACAAGTTTTGCACCCGCACTACGTTGGTTCTCTCCAAAATGTGAACTGTTGCATCCCCAATAGACTACGAATTAATATAATAAAATTATTGTTGGAGGTTAAATCGGGTAAGTTGGTTTGTCTTTGTTCATAACTTGTCCGCATCCTGAAATTTGTTCTGAACTTCAACTGAGAACACAGTAAATGTTTCATGGAAATAATTTTGAGTACTTTTTTTGATCTTCATAATTGAATTTGCAAAATACTTTCAACAAAATTATGAATTCTGGGAAGTAATCTCCTTTATTTTCTTGAAACCTCCAACTATTCATCACTATCTGATGATAATAATTAAATTGTCACTAACAATTAGGTTCTCCAACTATTCATATTCAATGTTTGCGCCATTTTCAAAACTGCACTGACTTCTCACGACCTATTAGAGCTCGTGCGAGAATTGTTGCACTGAGCTCTAAACTATGTGAACCAGTTTTCCAATGGAATTCAAAACCCGACACCACAAAATATGCACTCCGTGCAAGCCAGTTTCACCAATGGAATTCGATATCATTAAATTTTTGCGGCTTTTCACGGTTGCCTTGGTTTTGTCTAAGATGCCTAGAGACGTTTTTGCATTCGTGCTCCATTCTAAAATAAAGTGAATAATCATAACAATGAAATTGATTGAATAATGAATAATATTAAACAGTACCTATACTATTCCATGGATTCACGAAAAAATCATAAGCAATAACATTATCATAACTTCCGTAGAATGTTCCATAATCATGTATTAGTCAATTGTTATCACAACTTACAGTAGTATTTTCCATTTTTATAATATTTGTTAATTTTTACCATTTTCACAGACGATGTCATCTTTCAAGGCAAAAAGCTGAACATTTCCAGCTTTTTGCGTCATTTTAAATCCAGATTTCTTCACCAATCAGAATACGAAACGTAAAAAAGCAAAACGGCTTTAGCCTCTAACAGTAAATTTCAGTAAAATCGGAACGATAAAATATACTGGGCAGTACTGTTCGGAAATATCCGAACATGGTCGAAGTCTAAATGTCAACGTTTAAATTGTCGATCTGACAGGAGTACCATGTAACGTCAAATAAAATATCACTAAAGGCCGATTCATGCATCGTTCATTATGATTACATTTTCATTTCATTACATTATAAATTGAGAATGTTGAAAACTCATAATTCATAGAATGCATTCATGCGACACATTATAGTATATTATTCAAAGAGCGCATAATAATTGCTATTACCCACGAAGATGAAAGTTGCAGTACGACCCGAAGGCGTACTGTAATGATCTGAATGAGTAATAGCCATTATGCGCGAGTAGAATACCATACTTTATCTACAACTATTCGAATATCAAAGTAACTTTGAGAGTTCAGAAATATATCTTTGGAAAAAAGATAGGTTATATATTGAAAAATTACTGAATCCGAGACTAAATCTAATTTAATGTCATCGAAAACTACGACCTAACTTTTATTAACAGGTAAAAACTCGTGCGAGCGCATATCAGTCAATCTTATCAGGTATTATGCCATTTCAGTATGTAAAATTTATTCATTTATTTGAGAACATCATATCTACGTCAATACTAATAATTGCAGAATACTGATTAATGGCCGCTACTATCCCATCAACAATGAAGTTCCATGTGGAAAATCTAAGCAAGTCACATAACCTTGGATAATTAGTTCATTATGACTATAAGTTACATGAACTGGTAACTCACGGTTAGTGAAAACATAATTATGATGAATGTTGCATGAATCCGCCTTAAGAAATGTTTCAAATTAATTATTGTTTTCTCATTTACATGACAACTAAAAGTATACTGATGTCACATTACAAATTCAACCATTTCACCTTTTTGGTTGTTATTTCATTCTTCGTAATGGGTAATGATAATAATACAAGTATTTTTGATCTCAAAGTGTACCAATAAATAAAAAGTGTAAAGTATTTGTGGATAACTGGCCTTTAAAACACTTACTCTCTTTCGAGCACTCGGACAAGGCACTCGTGCATGAAAAATCGCTCGTGTTTTAAAGAGAAGGTCGTCTTTTCCGAGAAAAAATATACAACTAAAATTTTAGAGTGCACCGTTTAGAGCAAAAATTGAAGGAGTGAAAGGAGCGAACAAACCTATAATTTTGCACCCTACAGAAGTCACTATCCCCTACTAATATAATAAATATGAATGTATGTTTGTTTATAATTATTTCATTTTATTATATCATAAGTTTGTTTGTCAGGCTTTCACGCAAACCTGCTCAACCGATTATCATGAAAATTTGTATACATATTCTTTAGTGCATTAGAAAGGACATATGATACTTTTTATAAAAAAATTAAATTTTACGGCGGGTAGATAAATTGACAGACATGATTGGTGGACAAAAAATATAACAATCAGACATGAAACTCTATATGTCGGTACCTTGGATATTGATTATTAGAATACGTCTTTTGGCACTCGTAAGTCTCTGATTATCTAGATGATGAAATGAAAATGACAAATATCTAATCTAACATCAGGTGGGCACTTCGAAGGCGCAAATTCATTACTGCATGGGAGATACCCAGTGCCTATTGACCACAAATGACATTGACGTATTAGTCTTTTGCACAACCAAAATGCACGAATTCCATGCTACCTGAATTAGTCCATCTAAAAACAGGACAGGGCGCAAGAAATAATCCTTGCGGAAGCAATACAGACAATATCCGGCCGTGAGCGAACATCAATGAAATAGCGAATCACTATCGGCCCTAACAGTTAATGCCTCCACAGTATTTTTTTCAATCAATTTTCGAAACCGGGACCTTTGACTTATGAAGCACGCAGCTTACTCCATTGGCCATTATGTTTCCTGCGAATTTATGTACAAAACAAATTTATTGATGAAGGATAATTTTCACCAAACGGTTCAGTATTATGGCACGGTGGACCGTTTCAAGTAGTATTGAATTCATGCAAGCAAAACTCAGTTTTTAAGGATAAGAGTCAGTTTATTGTTTTAGTTATTACTCGCTGCTTTTAATCTTTACTCTGTTCTTTAAAATGCCTCGGAAGCGCAAATCTGATCTGTCTAGAAGGTCGTCACAGGAACGCTCACGCGGAGTTGAGAAGACAACAGCAAGCATGGCGACAAAGAGTTTTGAGAATAGCTGCTGATCTTTGATATTCATTTAATTGCTTCAACGCGAGCTTAGCCGCGTGTAAAAGCTAGTACTCTATATTTCGCGCTCACAAGTCCAACGTTTTAGAGACCTCGATATCCACTCACACTGTAATATACGATAATCACAGAATACTTTACAATCAGAATAGCATCTCTCGCGCAGGAGTGGGTTCGCGCCTTGAACGGCGCAGGTTGTCGGCCATCTTCCTGGGTTACTTGTTCACATATTTATCGAATTCTCATCTGTGGAATGATCGTGTGAAATATTCAGATATTTGAGTACATATTCTATTTTTGCTGTGTTGTTGTTTGGGTTGTACTGAAAAGGAATATTCTCAGATAAATTACGAACATAAAAAAATTGGATATATATATATATATAAAGCAATACATTGAGAATTCGAATTTCCTGTGTGATGAGAATATCAACTCTTTTTCAGTTTATTCAACAGAAAACAACTACTTTCCTGGCTATATGCCGCGACGAACATTGAATTATATCTATTGAACACACATGATAAGAGTTTGAAAATAAAATATAATATCTTCTGAATTTGCATTCTCCTTCAGACAAAAATATGTATATGCACACATCATTCTGAATATTCAACAAAAAACAACTACTTTCCTGGCTATTTGCCACGTCGAACATTGAATTATATACTGTTTGAATAAGTTCTGGTGCCTACACCTAATTTGGTTGTGAATAAGAAGCCAATTTTAGATTCTTTATCTGCTTCTTCTGTAATTGTAGACATGAATGCTCAAGAAAAACTTACAGGTGGTCATGTGTGAGCTGCTACAGGTTGCAAAAACAATTCTAAGACTTGGTTTCATTCCTCATCTGATCAAAGTCAGTTGAATGAATATACCCTGTATAACTATAAATCAAGCAGAACTGCAATTGAGAAAAAAAGTGAGTTTAGTTTTTCCAAAAAACAATTTGAAAAAATAATCTTATGAATACCTGGTCAAATCTATCAATTTCAATTTTTAGCAATGTTTGTGTTCAAACCTGTCCTACTGAAAATAAAAGTTAGCTATTGTAAACTATTTTTCATTGAATTAAGTGTAAGACATATTACTGGTATCAATAAATGACACACAAAGTGAATAAATTTAGTTAGTACAATCCCGTCATCTCCCTTAGAACGGCCCTGCTTGCTAACCCAAGAACATGACGGCTCACAGAAAACAGATCCTAAAATATCAAAGGCGCCGACCAGAGAAGCACTTCTGATTGTTGGGTATTCTGTGCTATAATCGTCTCTCGAACGCTTTATGCAACCGGCTCTACGGATATAAATCGTCCCGTTCAATGGTCGTCGTGCGTCGGCCCGTAGAAGATGAGCTCCGGTATCTGGCCCCCTTGCACGCCGGTGCCATTGGTGCTCTCCGAGCTGCACTGGAACTGGAAGGTCACCTGACCGACGGTGGCCTCGCTCATGCCCTCCTGGCCGAAGTAGCTCAGCTCGCCGCCGTCCAGTACGGCGGAGGCGGTGTAGAATGTCTCCGGCTCGATCTGAAGAGAAAACAGATCGAGTTAAGGTGACTGATACTAGGGTCCCTGTATATACCTTAGACAAGAGTCCGGACACAAAACTGACAGCTGTTGGGGTTTTTAATGTTTTGTTTCATTTGGTTTGCCCACCTGATAATGTGACGAAACACCATAGTCGTCCGCCCGCTTTTTTTATTATTTCGAATTTCGGTCACTGTCACTATGAAATTTTATGACCGCCAAAAATCAGCATTTTAAATTATTTCAATGTCCTGCTGCCTACATTATTACGATAATTCGTTAGAAAAGGGATTCAAGTTATTCAATTTTCCGAATGATCAATGAAACGTCTAGAATGGAAAATTAATCTCGAGAAATCCGCAATATGTGAGGTGAATATACAAATTTACTTGTAAAAACAGTATAAAGAAGAAGAATTTTAGGCCCATTTTGATAGAGATTCTATCAAGCTGATGGATTTCACATTGAAAGAGTCTGTTGTGCCGTCAATTTATGAAATAGAGACGTTCAAAAAAAGAGTCCCGTCGTCATCGTATTGGCAATTACTGGATACGATCGCAGAGAAAGAAAATGAGAATGAGATGATGCGGAAAGAAATTGAAAGTTTGAAATCAAAACTAGAAGATTTAGAGAATCTGCAATGTGGTATGTCATCAGTCTACGGTGTTCTTAATTCAGAACATTATAGGGATTCCCTTTCGTGCGCTCCAATCGATAAAAAAAAATTAATAGAGCACTCGCTATCAAATATATTGTTGTTTTGATTTTGTCACTTTTATTTCTGATGAGAGTTATTGAATTGAGAGAATCGGAGAAAATTATATTGAAACAATTATATATCTTTTATTTTCTTATATCCCAACAGAAAACAACTATATTTTCTTGGCTATATGTGATACCACGTAGAACACTCAAATTATCTTCCTTATATCTAATAAAGTGAAGAAATCTCTGATGACGAAAATCTGCAATAGCCATCTCAGGAATCGATTATGGAAATTATCGATTCGAAATTTGAACACCCTGTTGTTCATTATTTGGAAATTTAATAGTTATTCTAGTTAAAATACCCCTATTTCTCACTTCTACCTACGGCTATGAACGGTTTGACAAATAATCTAACCCTCAAAATTGTTTCTGACAATCATTGATACTAGGGGAATTGAAAAGACAGAGCTCGATATATATGTCTTATTCCTTTATTCAATCATCAATGCATTTTTTGAAAACAGAAAAGGACAGAAGTAAAGCTGTGTCCGGACTCTTGTCTAAGGTATATACAGGGACCCTAACTGATACCATTGATTATTTCATTCACACCCGGCTGGACCTATGAAATGTCATGATTCAAGTCACATGATATGCGATATCAGCGGCTATTTAGGTAAACAAACAATATGAGCGGCTATTCTTCTCGCCAGCATAAGAGTGCTATGGTTGTCAAACTTTGACATACCCATCAGTCACTCAGAAATTGAAATGTCTCGTTTTGAGTCAACTTCCACTACGGAAATCCGTGATTATGTAAGCGAATCGATATCAGAAAATAACAAGGAGAGTAAAGACTCTGTCTGGAACAATTCATGTTTTTTTGCCAGCAGAACTATGAATTTTGTGCGACTACCCCATCTCTCGTGATTGCCCAAGTCCTAAAAGATTGGGTGAGGAGAAAAGTGAGGAATATTAGAAATACACAGTTGAAATTGATATGGAAAGCTATATACAGGACGGTTACTTCAATGAACATAAACGTAAGACAAATCCATTTGAATATATCGAATATAAAGGTGCCAGGGTTGTGCATAATGCAAAAAGGCGAAGCCTGCAATATTTTCCTCAAAGAAGAAAGGAAAGGACCAATTCGACCATATGAACATAAATAATCATAGAATAACTCCCTCGAGCCTCGGGAGCTATTCAGATTATTAATGTTCATTTATGGTCTCATCAAATTGTCAAGATACAAGGTACTCTCGATAGAATTATGACGAAAATGATAGTCGGCTATTTGTCATGGTCTCGGGATATTACCTGCGACTATTTCACTCATCTTGAAATCATCACATAGTCAGACCTAGGGTCCCTTGATGTAAACGTATTTGTCATCTTAACAGGGTGCGGACAGATCCTCGTCTCCTCTCACTCTTAAGTGTTTGTGAAACAGTTATATAGTTCCATCTTTATTCATTTCTGGGGATAACCACTAGATTTCTAGTTTTTAGGTTATATTGAGGACATTGGCGTATCATACGTAATTTCCACATGTAATTTCTCATTCAACTCTACATATTATATCCAAATGATGATGATAATTTTCGAGTTTTTGATTTTTTAACTCCAGCATAATCTTTGTGAGGCAGTGAGCAAATTTTTCTGAAAGTTTAATACATTTTACCAATGAGACTGTTCTTGGGCAATACCTATCAATAAATGAATTTTGATTTCAGACTAAGCCTTATGGTTGAGAAATGGTGAAACATTTTATGTAGGTATTTAAACTAATGTGCTCATATGTCATGTGTGCTGTATATATTCATGTTTGGAATCATTTTTGCAGTTTTTCACGACAGTTTAGAGTTTGTTTGGGTACTGTACTCCAAATATGAGAACATTATTCCAGGACAGGTCGGATCTGTGCCTTAGTGATCATAAGCAGCCATAGACAAACCAAAAATAAAGAGACTGTTCAAAACATAGGAAATTTTGACCATCAAGTTTGTGCGCAACCCAGTCGCGCATGGAGGCGCTGTTCGCAATCGACAAACGAGTCATGACATGAAACATTTTGAATTTCGACATTCGACAGCACGACAGTATAAGGCCTGTTCGTATGTGTTTGCTCTACTGGTTAAACTTAATTTTTTTTTCTATGACTTTCTCTGTTTATATCATGCTATGAACAGAGACAACTATGGAAAAACATCAACTTTAGCAAGTTCCATTTTAGAACGAAGGAACAGACCAATGGAATACAACAGATATTGTTTATTTTCCGAGTTGATGTTGATACTGAAATTCGAGTTTCTCTTTCACATTTATTTTACTTTATTTCCGAGTTTATTTCTATTATTGACAAGGTGAAATTGATAATATTCATGTAGGTTGCACGTAGGTACATTTTTATAGAAACATAAGTGATATTCTTTCATTCTGAACTAACCGAAATATGAACGGAACTGAATTAAACATACATTTTATCGAATTGAAGTAGGTATTCTTGAAGAACGCATGTTAACTGATGTCAGTTTTATGTTTGTTTTATGTAATATTTCAGTATTTCAGATTAAAAGAATATCACAGATGTAAAAGTGTGGTGAGATGCCAAGACCCCGTGCATATAAATTCAAGTGTGCAAGCAATAAGTGTTGAATAAGTTGATACCTAAAAATGCCAACAAAAATTGTGAAGATGTGACTACCAAATTGGATAATCTCAACTCATTTTTCACTTGCCCAGTGGAGCCAGAGCCATCATCAGTTCTTGTCAATGAGTTGAATGAATTGGTTATTCCAAATTTCGATATTGTGTTTTCTAACTCAGAATTTGACACCCAGGCAACATATGTAGCAGGACAATTTTTTTTTCAGAGTTAGTTATTCATTTATTCATAATTTTCATCATTTTTGTTTGTTTCCTTTTTGTATGATGTCTAGTCATTATTAGGCTGAAGAGTTTATATCTTATTTTGTTTTTTTTTCAGAGTTTTATTTACTTATTGTTTCATGATATGTAGTTCTCTAGTCTTGGATGGAATAAAATATATTTTTTTAAGTTTTTTAATTTTTTTTTGTAATTTTCTCGATTAATACAAATTTTGAAAGTAAAGGTTTTAAATAAACCGCCTTATCTCAATCGGTAACTAGAGAATCTGTTTTATCGATCATAGTAACTAGTTCCACCCAGTTGCCAAGTGTGTCGCTCTAAACGTGGTGCCAACTTTTACTGCAGGTTTGTTACTGGAAGTGAAATAGCTCCTGGCCCGAAACAGCAAACCGAGTTTTTGGGATACACTTTTAGCAATTGATCTCACGTGATTTTCCCAAGAAAGGTTATTGCTGATAGTAATACCAAGCATCGAAATGGATGTCTTCAAAGGTATGGTTACTCTGAGGATCTAAGTTGAGATACACAGAGCGTAACGCAGGAAACGCATGGATTTTGAAAGCTCGACGCTCGACCGTCCGTGGGCGGCGTGCCTTCCGTTTAAGATTCAATATCGCTTCCCTCACCTGTATGGGATTGTCGAAGTACACGTGGAAAGTGTTGCTGGAGCCGTCCGAGAAGAACTTGGCATCGTTCTCGGCCAACACCCTGCCCAGTCGCTTCAGTTCGATCCGCACCGCATAATCGGCGGCGCCGTTCGACGAGCCGTACAGTCCGAAGCCGACGACGAAGATGCGCCGGTCCACCGAGAACTGGATGCTGTCGCAGCGGCCCCTGTACCGCCACTGGTTCGAGCGGTACGCGCATGACTGGAAGCGGTGGCATACCTGCGAGGAAAAACGAGATTGCGATGGATTTTTTGTAAATCTGACGAGTATGCTGTAAATGCGATGAATATTTTATAACTGCGATGAATGTTTAGTGAATACGATGAATATTCTGTAAATGCGATGAGTATTTTATGACTCCAGTGAATATTCAGTGAATACGATGAATAATTCGTAAATGAGATGAATATTCAATAAATGCGATAAAAAATTATTTTGGATGTAGTTAAATAATTTGTGAATACGGTGAATATTCTGTAAGAGCGGTAAATATTCTGTAGCAGCAGTGAATATTCTTTGAAAGCGGTGAATAATCTGTATATGCGATGAACATTTTGAGAATGCGGGGGAATGCTCGGTTAATGCAATGGATATTCAGTGAACACGATGAATCATCAGTAAATGCGATGAATCATCCGTAAATGCGATGAATATTCAGTACAAGTGAAGAATAATTTTTGGATGCAACCAAAATTGTGTAAATGCGGTGAATATTCTGTGAGATCAGTGAATTATCTGTAAATGCGGTGAATATTTTGTAAATGCGTTGTAAATTTTGTGAATGCAGTGAATGTTCAGTAAATTCGATGAATCTTCAGTAAATGTGATGAATATATACAGTAAATGTGAAGACTATCCTGGAAATGCGGAGAATGTTCTGTGAATGCGATGAATATTCAGGAAACACAATGAATACTGATTAGAAAATGCGATGAATCTTCAGTAGATGCAGTAAAAATTCTGTGATAACGGTGAATAGTCGATAAATAGTAATAGTCGATGAATATTCGATAAATGCGATGAACATTCAATCAATGCAATTATGCAAATGCGAGGTATATTCTATCAATGCTTTGAATATTTCCAGATAGTGTTGAATATTCTGTAAATGCGAAGAAAGTTTTGTCAATGCGATAAATATTAATGAATGTTTTTTGGATGCAGTAAAAATTGTATGAATGCGGTTAATATTCTGTAAGCAGTGATTATTCTGTGATAGCATTACACGTTGATATGTGATTAATAATCAAGTAATGCGGTGAATGTTCTGTAAATGAGATGGATATTCAGTGAACACGATGAATTATCAGTAAATGCGATTAATATTCTGTAAATGTTATGAATATTTTATCACTGCGATGAATAATCAGTAGATGAGATGAATATTCAGTGAATGCAGTGAATGTTCTTCAAATTCGTTGAATATTCTGTAAATTCGTTGAACAGGATAAATTCAAATATTCTGTTTTATAATATAATGTGAAAAAATGCTGATTGGTAGGTGTAAATGCGATTGATATTTTGTTAATGCTGTCAATATTTCATTAAATGCGGTGAAGATTCTATAAATCTGATCAATATTTAGTGAATGCGATGAATATACAGTGAATGCCATAAATATCTGTCAATCTAATGAATATTCAGTGAATGCGATGAATATACAGTGAATGCAGTGAATATTTCATGATGGCCGTGAATATTCTGTAAATGCGATGAGTATTCAGTAAATGTGGTGAACAATCTGTAAATGTGTTGAATATTCTGTAAATTCGGTGAATATTCTACTCTGGATGGATTGTTGTATGATATAATGTGAGATGAATGCTTGTTGGTAGTTATTCTCTAAATACAGATGATGAATCTGTAAGCTTCTGGAAGATCAATCTGTTCAATAAAAGTATTCTGTGACGTTTACCTGTGCCTTGAGTCCGGCCCTAGGCTTGATGGGGTACTGCAGGCAGGGTTTGTTGGTGGCGGTGAAGTGGAAGAATATGTCGATGGTCTCCTGCTGCGTCAATACGCCCATTTGAGCTGCCCCATTGGCGAACTCCTCCAAGGTCATGGTGGGGATGCGGACGAGATAGAGGGCGCTGCCCAACACCTATTCAATGATGATGATAATAATGATTATAATGACTCTTACGATCTTTTTTTGGCCTTATAACTATCACTTTCAAACAAATTTCAAATGAAAAATACTTGATAATCGAATATTTAGAGCAGAAATATTCAAAAATTCAAGGTTGCCTAGGGAAAGAAAGTGGAGAATTAAGAAAACAATAGAAAGTTGCAAAATATATTTTATACAAAAAGATAACAAGAAGTAATATTTCATATTTTGAACGAAAACAACATATTTAGTCAAATTGGCAGTTTTGATGAACAAAATTATGACAAACTTTTGCAATGGGCGAGTAGACTGAAAATGAATTATTGGCATTCAATTACTCCACATTGCCGTTAGGGACCTAAATTGATATTTGCAACACTTCTCACGCTTTTTTTTATGTAAATAATGAGTCTACGCATTGTTCAAAATCGTTGAATTTCAGAGATCATTTCAAACGTAACGTAATGGCCGCCATTTGGTGATACGTCGAATAAATGGTGACATCAGTATTCATGATGTTTCGTTATTGGTCAGATAATCGGGTCGATTCTGTTCGGATCTTATTAAAACATTGCTAAGATAATAATATTGTTATGATCATAACATATAACAATATTGCTATGAAGTTCTGTATTCTGTTTGCAGAGTAACTGCAAGACTGGTTATAAGTTCAAGTGATAGCAATATTGTTGAAAAATTGAGAATTTTTGAGCTGACAACACTGTTTTCAACTAATTGTTCAAGTGTTAGGTATCGATTTTGCCATTATTTCATGAAGAAGAAGAGTTCAACCTCTCAAATTAGCAGTCCTGCAACCTGCACTGACATTTTACAAAATTATATTGTTCAAATCGAGAGATTTTGTATTTGCTTAATCTGGTCGTCGTTGTGCGACTGGTGCAAGTAATCAATCATGTCCCCGAAATGAAAAAACAACTAAAATCCGGATGAAACAAATTGTGATTTTTTTTAATATTCTAGCAAAATAGCTCGATAAACTATCCATCAGGCAACTGAAATTTCTCTGATATGCCGAAATTGTAGTCTCATATTTCCTCTACAAATTGGAACTTCAAGAAGAGGTTTTCAAGTAGTTGGTCACAGTACACAGCAGTGAACCTATCCTATATGTTTGTATCACCAAGTTTTTCAATAATTCTTCTACGAATTGAAACTTTGAGGAAAGGTTTTTGAGTAGTCAGTGACACAACTGAACTCTCATAAGTTTTTAATCCACTATTTTCTGAATTTTCATACAGTTGGAAGAATTTGTAGTGCAAAAACAAAGAATCCACTACCTTGTTATCAGATAGCAAGCAAGCAAGCTGCCTAGGCAGCAAAGTACCCACTTTGCTGATTGATATGTGTCAGCAAAATTAATATTTGCTGCCAATCGGAGAAAAACTAATATTTCGGAAGTTTCCAATCGCATTTCAACATATGGAAACTGTGCTATGGTATTGAGTGATGATTCGATTTGAGAAATAAAAATAATAGTCCACTCGCCTATTGAAGAAACGAATGAAACATTTGAATAATGTCGTATTAAGATAAAGTATGAAATTGAAATTTTGTGAGATCTCTTCTAACGCCTATGAATGTGACGTGACAGCAACGTCATGTCAGGGGCGCCAATACACGAAACCAAAGTCACTAGATGATTAAAAGAGAAAGGAGCTATGCTCTGTCCGTACCCTGTTAGATGACAAATACGTCAGTTTGCATCAAGTGACCCTAACTTCAACGAATACGTCATATATCAGTGAATAACGAAATAGCTCGCGATTTCATCCAATTCGCTTCATCTCCTGTATAGAATTGCTATTCCGGAGATAAGAGGTATGGTTTCCTAAGCGTCGTTATGTCAGTGGTCTGAACTCACCTCTCGCTTGTTGTGCGGCGTGGGCTCGACGTCGCGACGCCCGCATTCGGCCGCCGCCCAGTTGAGCGCCGCTTCCAGCAGATTGGTCTCCTTGCAGTTGAGCGTCTCGCGCGCCAACACCGATTCCAACGTGGACACGTCGATGTCGACGAAGCCCTCCGATCGCACCGCCATCTCTGCCTAAGACGGATCGGGTGGATTAGAGCATACTATACAGTGTGTCCATTTAGTGCGTAATTCTCCGATATCTCGACAGCCATAACCTATAGAGAAAAACTTTGAAGGAAACACTTTTTCAGTTACTGAAGTTGCTCATTTCAAAAATATTTTCAACATTAGTGGGTGTTTTATAAAAGCGGGACGACTCGGAGACGAGTTTTTTTCAAATGGAACACCCAGTATTTTTTATTCGGAATTTATTCCGCCGAGGTTCACCTTCACATCGCTGTGAGAAAAATTGAATTTGGTTGCGGCGTTTCAAAGTCATAAATGATAAACCAATTTTTACCACTATTGAAGAGTCATGTTGAATTGGGCATGGTATACAGGGTGTTTCAGTTTTTTGTAGCAGAACTTCAACAGCTTAAAGAAGACATTTTTTCAAGATGAAAATCTCTTACAAACATATATGCGTGGGAGCTTCGTTTCCGATTTACAGGGTGTCGAAGTTTCAGATTTTCTCCTACAATTTTCGGAATAATTGATTGAAATTTGCTACACCTAATACACTTCAAAAACTCAATGTTTGAGGCTATTGAGCGTTTTTGAATACCTACAGGGTGATAGACTTTCAGTAAATGTTCAAGAAATGTCTATGTCCTATTGAGAGCAGAGGCGGTAAGCAAAAAAGTTCTACAGGGGTAAATTGGGTACGACCCCTGAAAGTATATCACCCTGTAGGTATTCAAAAACGCTCAATAGCCTCAAATATTGAGTTTTTGAATTGTATTAGGTGTTCCAAATTTCAATCAATTATTCTGGAAAATTGTAGGAGAAAATTCGAAATAAAAAAAAATCTCCCACGCATATATGTTTGTTTGAGATTTTTATCTTGAATAAATGTCTTCTTCAAGCTGTTTAAGTCCTGCTACAAAACACTGTATATTCATTTATTCAAATTTGGAAAATATTTTCGGCATACAGTAGTAGCAAGGTCTCACGTATACCAATCCAGTAATTTTGCGACATGTTCTTCAACAGGGTGCTCAATTTTGCATTTAGAATTTTGCAAGATTCAGATGATATTCATCAGAATTTTTCAAATGGAACACCCTGTATTTTCATTGACAAATTCATTTCGACATCTTTCGCCTTTTCATCGCTGAAAAAAAAATCGAAATCGGTTGCGGTGTTGTCAAGTTATGAATAATTTCCTTATTTTTACTACTATTTCGGGGTAATTTGTACGTCATAGTTCTTTCATTTATTTGTGTTGTGGAAATATTGCGTTGCTACAGTATAATCAAATTCCTCCATTGACCATTCATATATTTTTTACAATAGGAACATTTACAGGTTCTCCAAGTTTGAATTCAAAACAGAGTGGAAAACGCCGCAACCGATTTGGACTTTTTTTCCAGCGATGAGAAGGCGAATGTTGTCTAAATAAATCTGTGATGAGAAATACAGGCTGTTCTATTTGAAAAATTCTAATGAACGTCGTCTGAATCTTACAATATTTGAAATGTAAATTTTAGCACCCTGTAAAGGATCATCTCGCGAAATTTCTGGATTGGTATACGTGAGACCTTGCTACTACTGTATGCAGAAAATATTTTCATCATTTGAATAAATGAAAATACCATGCCCAATTCAACATGACTCTTCAATAGTGGTAAAAATGGGTTTATCAATTATAATTTCGCAACGTCGTGACCAAATTCAATTTTTTTCACAGCGATGTGAAGGTAAACCTCGGCGGAATTATTTCCGAATAAAAAATACTGGGTGTTCTATTTAAAAAAACTCGTCTCCGAGTTGTCCCGCTTTTATACAACACCCACTAATGTTGAAAATATTTCTGAAATGACCAACTTCTGTAACTGAAAAAGTTTTTCCTTCAAAGTTTTTCTCTATAGGTTATGGCTTTCGAGATATCGAAGAATTACGCACTAAATGGACACACTGTAGTCACTGGATGGTATAAGGTTTATTCGCGTTCACAAAATTAACAGTCCTAAGTGGTCTATTCAGTAATTTAACGTTCGAATCTGATATCGTTACGTTAACGATACATTGGCCAACAACATTATGATCGAACGATAAATCTTAGTTGCTGATTCAGTATCGATGTCAGGAAAGTAGTTGTTTTCTGTTGAATAAACCGAGAAAGAATTAATATTTTCATCACATGGAGAATGCGAATTCTCAATGTATTTCTTTATTTCTGAGAATATTCCTTTTCAATTGGGACATGGTTATAAATGGGTTTGGTGAATGTTGGTAACAGAATGTTGATGTTCTGTGGCTAAAAATGCGTGAAACGTTTGTCTGTTTTTAAAAGTTTTTGGTTCATTTCGTTCAAACGTTTCAGAAAACAAGAAAATAATATTCCCCCACTTTTTTATTCAACCTATACACTTGTAGACATTTCTTTCTGTCTTTGTTGTTGCCTAAATTCAAAGATCTATAACTAATAATGTTATTCCAGAAATGATCACATGTTGGTATGTAAATATACTAGAAATAATGAAGATTTTACCTGCGTACTATACTTTCTTCAACTATGTCTACTAGTGCTCCCTGGCTATTTGTTATTATTTTAATAATCAGCAAAACAAAATCTTTCCATATCGATACACCATTCATATTATACATTTCCATATAATATGATAATTATGTCATCTTCACCTAACGACAATATGATGTCTCAAAGACAGCTTAGCCGAAGTCGTTAACAAACAACAAGTTTTATCGTACAGGTACGACATTCGTTAGCTACAGAATAACAAATATATCGTTCCATAACGATTTTCATTGGCTAACGATGTCGTTAAGCGTTACAGAATTGCCCCCTAAAGCACCTTAAGCATACGCAGTCACAAAAAAGTGTTTTCCCAGGAGTGTTTCTTATTCCACAGTCTCCACAGATCACGTGTTTTCATTCTATAGGAACTAGTTTTTGATAGTTTTGAATCGGTTCAAAACAGTACGAGCCTCTGGGCAAGAAGATCTTTTTAACCTCTAAGCGATTTAATGTTAGAGATACACTTTTGAAAACAAGATGAAGAATGGAATTATTGGATAAAAAATCAATCAAAATTATAAACAATGGGCAATGGGCATATGAGCTCCAACTCATCGTCCTATCTTCCAGATCAGATGATAACAAACATTTTTGAACATATTATCTGCTGGAAATCCTCAAAACTAATCTGGAGAATTGTGGTTTGGAAGTGTTTTAAACGAATCCGTACTCAGATCAAGAATTCAGGGACCATTTTTGGAAAGGTTTATGTTCAGGTCCTAAATTTTACGATTATTTTATGAAAACATCAATATAACCTTAGCCTAAATATGTCCTTGATTCACGTGAGTCAAGACAAACAGCTTATTTTCGGGGAAGAAAAGAAAACGGGAAAAGGCATTTTCGTTCATCTGGTTTCAAAACAATCCCAGACTTGTTTAGGATTGAATTTGATGCGCACCTGGTTCTACGCAGTCCAAGAACCGTTTCAACAATTTGGAACACGAACAAACCTATTAGTAGATGAGATTTCGGACATTCTGAAATTCTGTCCTTTTCTATTTTCTATATTACAATGGTTTGAATATCTATGTTTGAGTAAATAAAAGAATGCGGCATATATTCTGCTCTTTGTCTTTTCAATTTCCTTAATAGCGCCTGATCGTCAGATACGATTTTAGAGGTTAGATTATCTGTCAAATCAATCATAGCCATAGATGGAAAATAGAAATAGGGTATAAATATCCACTTCAATTCAAAGCGATACGGCACTTTTCGCAGATCAGCAGTTATAAAAATGAGATGAATAACAAAATAGACACATATGGATATAATTATAGCTAGTTCGGCCGGTATTGAAAACGCCATTCAATGAAATATCATGCAAGTTGCAATTTACTTGATTTCCTCAGTTTCGTTCTAAAATTTTCAATTTCATTACGTAGTTTCGCAATCAATTCCTGTGATTCAAGTGATCTTATAATCCTCTGGTCGGAAATAGGCCTAAAATATAGTTTCATTCTAATCTGCTGATATAAGTAGTGAATTTCAATGTATGTACTTCATAAATTTGGAGTCTTCAAATTAATTTTCCATCCAGTCTGTTTCATACATTCCTGTCATAAGACAATGGTTGATATATATTTCCTCTCTCAATTGTTTATGAAGTTATATTTCAATTCTGACGTTCACAAAATGTTTTGTCAAATACAAACAATTTTGAATGAAAAAGCGCGGGACGACTATGGTGCTCTTGTCAAATCAATTTCAGCTATATGGCGGTCGATACGATTTGATATATTATGTACCAGTTCAATTTATTATTGTTCAATGGTATCATTTGCGATATTCATAAGGTTTAAATATTTCAAAACTTTTATATTAATACTGTATTTTTAATATCTAAGTACCCGCCATTTTTATCGGTATTCTTCCTAACTTGATGCACATGGCATTGCTCCTTCAATATGGAATTGAAATATGGTTTAGTAGTGGAAAAAATATTAAATATACCTCGGGTGAGAATGCTATTATATAGCTTCTTACCCTAGGTGTATAATATACTATTTGAACGGGCAGATACTTGTCTACTCATCATGTAAATTATTATTAAGTGATAAAGTGAAGTCTTTTTTTTTATTTCGAATTGATGGAATAAATAATGTATCCCAAGTTTACGATTCCACTGTAAATTTCAAATTTGATTCCTTCACAATTTGAAGAAAAAAAATCATTTTAGATTCCCCTGGTATATGATGATGCAAAAATATGAATAGATGGAACTGACGTTCTCGAGACGTGTGGTCTAACCTCCAAGACCTTTGAAATTATGACGAAAGTCGATTTTTTTGATGAAATTCATTGTGTGCAAATAGGACTAGGATCAAGGGTTCTACTGGCTACATCAATAAAACTATCCAATATGTTTTACAATCCATATATTAACAGACAATGGTATACAATTACAATCTGATCGTCACACAGCTATAAAATC